AAGAATCAACGAACACAAACCGGCTTGGTTAAACACAGGAACCACAAGGACCGTTTCGAGTGCAATCACGGCGCACCTCGTAGATACCGAACATCAGATAACTGAGGATGCGTTCAAGATTATCTACCAGGTACCCCCAACCCCCTCCGACAGCGCCATCTTGCGACAGCAGAGGCGGTAGCAATAAGGTTATTGCGACCAACTCTATGCTCACAAAAACAATTCGTCAAAGCCCTACACTTACCCTGGCCCAGACCCGACACTCAACGTCAATTAACCCATGACCCTTTGATCTAAGTGTGTGACCTCACCCTTCCTGTTTCATCCCTCTTCCCCCTCCCTCTCCTTTCTCTGTTTTCACGATTCCCCATTCTAAAACCACGGATCAACAATCTTATTTTGGTTTTGGTTTTTGGTTTTTACCTCTTTCCCAACCACTTCTCACCACTCCCTTGCCGTCCAATCAATGCATTTTCGTTCTGACATTATTTGTTGCACGTTAAATCAATAAATGTATATAACTGTATTAACCAGAGGATGAAGTTATCGAAAACGAGCTTGTTCGCTACTCGTGTTGTTCTGTCAATGTCACAATGGGAATTTTCAGTGCATATGAGGATAACACGGTTCGGAAAAAATCATCAAGTAGACTTATGAATGTTGTGAGATACTACACACACTTGTGAGTAGTTCGCAAAAAGATGCGATTGGCAGTTTATTTCAACGTTCAAAAATAAACAACAGCACTTAGAGCGAATTGTTGTGCTCCAAAGAATAACTACAAACTGTTCCATTCATTACCGAGTGCTGCTGGGACTTGTGATGACATTTTAAATGAGTTATCTTGTTATATGCCTGCCAAATTATCGATATATTAACTGTGGAATTATAATAATGACCACAATTTTAGGGCATAAAATCATGCATGTACAAGATGATGTTCAGTCCCTTGACTAAGGCCAACTTTGGATCAGGGAAGTCTGACTCATCATTAAAATCGCTCCTGTGATTAATGTGATGGAGTTAATAATCAAATAATAAACCTCATTCTTATCCGAGTCTTCATGAAAACAGATTTTCCTCACCACATACCCCAGCAGCTTTCACATGGTTATTACAATGCAATTTACCTCTATTTTGCTGTGTGTCAGAGGAAATTGTACAGAACGTCCTGTTCGCAAGATCATAGCCTTTTCTTCACATTTGTATTCTCTCATTTTTTACACACAATTGTGACCCGGATCTATGACAAAACTGGACAGTACCGGTACTGTTGCGCATTAACACAAATAAAGCGGCCAATGTGTGTGTGCGAATAGATCTTTTTCTTTCTTTTTCACTTTACATTCTTTTATTGAATATACAAAGATACAAACAACACAATCATTTCTCCTCCCACTTTTTTGCTTGACAAAGTGCAGTACTGTACTTACAGATCGTGCGGCTACAATTTGTTGCGGTGTGACCGGCGGGAGACGGATCCATTTCAGTCCGGGTTCATGGCATACAAAATAGGCTTTCTGATTCACACCGATCTGATTGTTCGGCTCTTTTGGTGCTTTGATCGGTGGCTTCCATTTGTTCTTGGGCAAAACATCTCGCGCTAACGAATCAGAGGGGGGAGAGGGACTCCGTCCGATTAGACTGAACTCGGAACCCGCGTAATCTATTCATGCACCCGAACGATCACGAACAATTATGGTCAGTTCGAAAAAAACCTTGCCAAAAAAAAATTAGGCTCAGGGTAACATATCTTTCTCATTGAACCGTACTGTTTAATTGAATGTTTAACAAGGCGTGTGAAATTTCGTTTTTGTTCAAATCGATTGGTATCTTATCATGCTTTTTCTTTTACATCATGCGTAAGGGAGCAGTGAGGAATTCGATCTATTTGTCATAATAAGATTTATCGCAAACAAATCAAAATACGTAGCGTCCAACTACTTCAATCTTCAGCAGCATCAACAATAATGTAGAACCATCAATCCAAAAAGTTCAGAATGTTTCTAATTGGACCAGGAACTCCCGGATTTTAGTCCTGCAGTCAGTTGCAGTCAACAAGCTTGTAAAAAATGAGTTGTGCTGAATCGCATGGAAAGAAAAAAAGAGATCAAACTAAGGCCTGGCATGAGAGTATGATAACTCGGACCAAGAGACTTGCTCATATAAATCGCCTTAGGCTTCCTGGTTGGGGACTTCAGGATTGGGCCGCTGAATGAAATGGCTGAGTTTCGCCAGCAGTTTGTCTACTCAATGTTCTTTCAGACTTGGTCTTCATGAATATTTTTATATTTTGATCCTGACACTGATTTGAAAATTCCAATATTCCAAGAGTGTCGAAGTTCGAATAACCCATCCGATTGTTCATAGGCATTGTTGGTGGTCCTGACAGCTGCCCTGCTCTTTGCCAGTCAGCACAAATCTTTCTATTCAAAACTTCACTTAAAACCATCCCAATTGGTGGTCAAGAGACAGTAAACAAAACCATCACTCTAAAGACCATGCTTAATCGTTATAAAAATTAAAGTGAACTCTGTATATCAGCCAATTATAGCAGGATCACTAGTTTCCGGTGGTAGAAAGTGTTGAATGGTTTGATGGATTTGAACTGCTGATCAGACCCTGGAAGGTTTAAGTAGTTTATCCAAACCATTTCACCTTGGGATGCTGATTTAGGCAGCTACACCTCCCCGGCCGAAACCTTTCAACTAAATTGTTTCCAAGCCTACGGGAAGCCTACTGGATACTTTCCAGTCGAGCATGGGTATGATATCATAGTGATATACGCTTATTCACAAAGCGTCCGAAGCCTCCCTGAGGCTAGACAGAGATCTATTTTATGCGAAAACAATATAGCAAACGAGAACGCTACCCGCATGTCAGTTTCACTACAAACTTACACAGGCATGCACTAAACCTCGTGATTCGCACCCGGACTAAATGCGATGGCTTTATTTTTGCACTTTGGGTTGGAGGTATGTATGATTGGAAGAACTCCATGAAAACAAGCTCGTTCCTTTTGTTCACTTATAATAACTAGATGGAAGAGCTAAACTTTTCCATAAACCATCTCTATTATCGTCAACTCCAGAGTTCTTTGTAGGGGATGGTATCAAAAGACAATTTCTGATCAAGGGCAACTGAAATGATGTATGTGTATATTTAGCAAAGAGGTATTTAAACATCTGAAATTGTAAACTAACCATATTCAGTTCATGATAAGCGGAAGCAAATAGATTAGTGTTATTCCAATCCCAATATCGCAGGTGATAGATTATTTTCAAGTTTTCTCCGACTTACCAGTTTCCGCGTCATCGTCGTCCACCTCGTTGGCTACCTCTTCTTCATCCGCATCATTCTGTCCCTCGCTATCCTCCTCATCCTCGTCCATATCCTCTCCCTCTTCAAACTCAACCTCTACAACATACATATTTTGCAAAGTGCCAAACACTTTTCCCCAAAATCGAGCCGTTTTCACGGGGATCGAACTGACTAACTGTTTAATTGCTAGCGCCAAATTCATTGTTTCACACGCACTCAAACCGATACCGGCCAATTCCAACTGGTAAGCGGATTCCATCACATTCGGAAATGGGTGTTCCGTATTTTCCTCAATAACCGGTTCTTCCTCTTCACCTTCAGCCTTCTATCAAACATAAATAGGGTTGGAGAATGAGGGGGGAGAATAATTTTCACGATCAAACAGAACAAGATGCAGCAACGTACGGTAAAAAGTTTTTGTTGAATTCGTGCAGTGGACAGCAGAGCCGGATTGTCCGTCGGAGGTTCCTCATAGTTCGAATAGATTTTTACCGACTTCATTTTTTGACTGATATGTTCAAAACTGATAAACGCATCGGACTTTTGATGTGCAAATAAATACTTCAAACATTCTTTGAAATGAAAGTATCTGTAGAACGCGGGATGAGTGTGATCGAAAAGCAGTTCAGTGTAATCTACTTACAGATTGTTTCCCTTTTTATCCTCTTGTCGCATTAAAAGCGTTTTGTCCTCGATGAAACTGGACATACCCTCGGTTGACTCCGAGTGCACTGCAATATCGCTCATCTATAGACTAATTTTTATCGTGTCTGAAAAACGAAATGGCATACAGCCAGTTCAAAGAAATGCAACAAAAAGGCCTATATCGTGGACCTAGGCATACTGAAAATGTAGAGTCTGTAAATTCTTCTGGGAGAGACAAATTAAACGATTTGGTGGTTGAACTTATCAGTGGCTGCAAAGTACCGTTTGTCATTCATATATGAGCGTCATTTTCTTCTGGCAATACTATGCGTAGTTTATGTTTTTAGCATGTTTCCTACTCAACAAGTCCTCGGTCATATTTACCTGCCTCACTGTGGAAATGCTGCTCTCGATAAATGGAAGAGCAATGCCGCTTTGGCTTCATTAATATTAGTGTTTTACTTTAACAATGAAAAAACAATTGCATAGCTCTATGTCCATAAGCTTTTGTTGTATGTTCCACCAAAATGCATGTCAGACAAACCTGGTAAATACCAACTTCTTGTAAAGGATGACCTTTAATACTACATGCACCTTTGCCCACGAAGTAGACATCTTTTCCATAGCACCAATTGGCAAATATATTTATATATAAGTAGCTTATGGGTAACTCGACAAAATTCACTCCTAGAGCCGACCTTCTTAGCTGATCCCGCGAAGTCCCGCGACTAGGCGAGTGGCGTAGTGCTGTACCCGTTCCAAGTTGGCCATTTCGTAAAATGTGCAGGGATATACAGCTGGTTCAGCGTATTCAAGCCAGGGGCAAACAGAGGCGAACAATTTCTTGATGGCCGTGAACGACATACCGTCAAACGACCGACGGATAGCACCTAGCATGCTCCTTGCCGCGTAATATGTTCGCACGGTGTTCATCTTGGTCTTAATGGATAAGGAGATGATGACTCCCAAATACCGCTCGGCAGCCGTCGAACGCAGTGGGACATTGTTCATCAGATAAGGAATGTCCGGGGTCTTCCGATCCAGGCGCACATGAGCGCATTTTGACGAATTCACTGGAAGTTCCCAAAAATCAACCCAATGGTTCAACTTGTCAAAATCCTCTTGGAGGGCATGTTGGTCCTCCGGTGTTCTCATGACTCTCCACAGTTTCAGATCATCGGCATAGAGCAGGCAAGATGAATTTAACTGAAATGGCAGGTCGTTCACGAAGAGAAAGAACAGTACAGGTCCTAGGACAGAACCCTGTGGCACTCCACTGGTGTCAGTATAGCGACGCGACTCGGTCTGGTCAACGCTGACAGTAAACGTCCGCCTGACGAGGAAATCCTCAATCCAGGGTAGTAGACAGTTTGTGACACCGTGAGCCATCAGCTTCTCCAAAAACTGTCCGTGTGGCACCTTGTCGAATGCCCTGCTGAAGTCAATGAAGATGACGTCCGTTTCGTGACCAGCGGCTTTGACAGACGCCCATTGCTCCCGAGCAAGTAGCGAATTCGATACACAAGATCGCTGCGGACGGAATCCATGCTGCTTTGGGCACAGAAGATTGTTCGGAAGGAGGTGTTCTTGGAGTCGTTTGATGAGTACACATTCCATCACATCGACGGTCATACAGGTTAGACTAACCAGGTGGTAGTTGGTGGGGTCCCCACGGGCTCCTTCCCTGGAGAGTGAGTGTACGATCGCCGCCTTCCACTCGGCTAATGATTGTTCGAACAAAACGACCAAGATAGGTGCAATGACCGACGCAAACTCCTTCAGCACGAAGGGATGCAGTCCGTCAGGACCCGGTGACTGGTATGGTTACAGAACCAAAAGTGCGTCACGCATCTCGTCTACTGATATGGCTTTCCAAGAAAGCAGAGGCGAAGATCAAGACAATCGGGGGCTCTGTGGTGTATCAGTAGCATAGATGGACGCAAAATGTTGCGCAAAAGCTTCCGCCTTGTCAACATCGGTTTCTGCCAGGGAACCAAAAATCTCCAAGGATGGTATTTCAGCCGTTGCAGGCGTGCGGTGATGGAGATATGCGTAGAAACGCTTCGGCATAGTGTCTGCTTCAAATATCTGGCATATTCCACGCACTCACAGGTCGCAATTGTGATCAACTTAAGTTGGTGACCTAACCACTTGGTCACCGCCGCCCATATATGCCTATATAAATATATATTAATATGTAAATACATTTAAATATTATATATGAATTGATATGTATATACATAATATATATAATCTATATATACAGATTATTATGTAATGATATACTATATAATATATATTATTATATTATATATATATAAATTTATTCAATAATAAATTTATTATTATTTATTATATTATATATCTTATATTGTATATTATTTATATTATTATTATTATATTATATATTTTATTATACCAGGTAGCACGAGTGTCCCCCTGAGCGTACTAATGGGATGCTAATGGGTGTCCCCTAGACATTCCTTTCCGGCATCCCTTTTGCAACAACAGGGGACACTCAGGGGGACATTCGAAAAACGGACCACTACCGACCGCCATTTCTATGTCCCATTTCATAATGCTACTTATAGACGACAGCCGTCACACCTTATTAATTTACTACCTTCTTTCATCTCGTAATCACTTCTAAGCTGCTCCTCTACCTAGCCTATACATCACGATCCAAAACGTCCTAATACGTTGGAATTCCAAATTAAACAGCTTTTCAATCCAACAACCCCATTTATATATCGGAGTGAAATAAAACAATATTTCGTAGTAAATGAAAAATGTATTGAGAAGGAATGTAATTATACAGCTGTCCTCAATCCTAGTCCAAGCTGTAATATAATATAATATGTCTTACTTATTGTATATTATTAACCTGCTAGCCCTATCGTCCCTTTCGAGCGCATTAAGAGTCCCATTAGAGTCCTATTAGAGTCCCGAAGCAATATATATATTTATATTAAGACAAATCCAATCCAATCCAATTTTCCAGGATGTAAAGGCCTCGGTCTTATGGTTGTCCTGATTTTAGCTCGACCTTGTTGGTAGACCGATCAAGCTGTAAGTTTGTCCGGCCTGCAGCACGGTAATAGTTCCGCGACCGTCCGAAGATGTGAGATTCGGATGTAGTAGTTGTCGCGCCTGTTTTCGGCAAGGCTGAAAAAGAGTGGGAACATACTGTCTTCTCGCCGTGTCGGTGAGAGACTTACGTACATTTAAGCGTAAGCGTTGTTGCGTGTGCATGCTGTATATGCGCACCACGTGATGCGCATTCTACGGGGATCTGATGCGTATCCATTTATTAATTATACCACATTGCAGGTTAATCACCTTTCGCGTGTTGACGCCGATTCCGTTGGTCACTGTATTCGCGCCATGTGCGGACTTATGTTGACCGATATTTGTGCTTCAGCATTAACTGGAGAGGCTCAAATGACAAAAAGGGATTGTGCAACACCAAAGTTGCCAAACTAATATACGGTAATTGTTATACTTTTAATAATTGATAGATAGACGCCATAAGGAATAAAAGAGTAGCGGTTACCTACTTAGACATCATTGAAGGGAAGATGCAGCGGTGGATACAGAGAACAAGGCTGTCGGTCAATGATTCCGTCGACAACTGCCCTTTCTCTGAGCAAGGGGTCCAGTATTCATGGTATGTATCTTTACTCTAATGCTTTGGATGATAAAGGCAATGATAACGCATTATAGCGTTTGGCGTTTATTTGCTATTTAGATTTTGAATTCCTATGTGGCTTAAAAACCCTGTTATTAATTATCATTTAATTATTCCGTTGGTTTTTAAACTACATGAGTAATTTTCATCACCTTTTTCTATTTTTAGATGTAAATGGCAAATGAAGAATATTTCCTAATCCCTTTGTACAACTCCAATGCAGTAATAAAAGTTACTTTCTAATTCGTTGTTACTTCTTATTTGTTTATCGTTGGGTGTTACTGCGCAAATAGGGACGCGGAACGTTGTTGGTAACAAGAGTTGTCCACGCGTTCTATGTTTCGCTTCGTGACATTGAAGACGCTAAGGCATAGTGGTTACGAATTTCTAGAGTAATTACGTAATCAAAGTTGGGCAAATAGTGTTCAAAGGTCCGATTAGATTGCGCAACTTGCTGCCTAAGATATTTGACTTTGACCGGTTTCGGGCTTTTCAAGTGCCGGGGTTCCAAAATAAGTGTGTCTACGTAGTTCTACAAATGAAGAATAGCGGCTTTTTCGGAAACAGAAGGTTTGGAAAATACAAGGAATTGATGGAGAATTTTTTTTGAGAGTCACTGATAGTGACCAATTCGTTACGATGGGTACTAATCGGTGACTAATCGGTGGCTCTCGCGTGACGAAACGATGCGTTTTCGGTGACTAAACGGTGACGCTCGTGCTGACTGGGCAGGACGGGTGTACATTCGAGAGTCGCCGTTGAGTCACCAGGGGGCAGGTCATCGAAATACAGATTTTTATGAAATAACTATTCCGAAATTGGATTCTATGTGCAAAATCACTTGACAAATTTTATTTTTTTCAATTCCTCTATGCGTTTCGTAGAGAAACAAAGTTAATTTCATGAAAAATCCACTTTTGAAAATGCTATTTTACATCAAGTGCAAAGTTAAATGTGTAGTGTTTTGCGAAAAAACTGTATTTTACTTACTCCTGGATATTTAAATTTTGATAGAATGATCATTCATGAATTTTATTATGCTATCCTGAGTGAACAAAAGAGCAGTGGGTGTTTTCTAGTAGGCGTTAGTGAACAGCGTCATATGACACTCTTGTTCTTTATATAAGGAACAATTTTCGGTTTAAAAAGCAAGTTTATGTGTTAAACTGAATGTAGTAATAGACACAGCAGTAGCTTTTCGGAATGATTGATTAGTGAGTTATTGTAAGCATAGGTCGGATTAAATGAATTGCTCATTTGATAACTTTTGTGTATACATATTTAAATCATGAAAAATCAAAGTGCTATTCCTCAGAAATATAAATCAGCCATTAGCGTTACGAATAATGAGCGATATTCAATCTTCATCGGTTGTGCAGAACGTCAGAAGATAAAGAGTTTCACTCGTTGCAAA